GTCATGTTACATATAGAAAACGTATTTGCACATCTCCTGGGGGCAAAAGGAATTTAGAGCCCCAGATTAGGATGCTGGTAGGAGTCAGGCTATAATCCCCAAACCTCTGGCCCCTGGTATACAGGACCCACATACTATACAGGTTGGGAAACAGGCCTACTACACGCTCAATTTTTGTACATGTTTTATGTGAATTAAAGAAAATGGTATTTCTCTACCTGTTGGATATATATATACCCAACACATATGGGATTTATATGCTTCAATATCTTTGATTAAGATTTTAATTGTCTGATTCAAATGTTCTGTAGTTACTTCTTTTGATTTGTTGTTTCCTTAGTGATGGCATCCTCCTCTTTTTCCTGCAGTGGTAAACACTCTCCTGCATCTGGTGCTTATCATTCCATACATTTTGTTAGGTTTTATCTACTTCATATGTATCCTGAATCAATACTTAGTATTTTTTTCGGTTGTTTCCAATTTTATATAAATCATATCTTACTGAATATATTTTCTTTTGACAATTTGCTTTTTTCATTCAACATTACATTGGTGAAAGTCATCTCCATGCTGAATGTGAAGCTCAAGCTTAATCATAATCTCATCAGATTGATTTATAATAATCTTTTTATAAACAGAATCCAAGTTAATTGACTCTCTCTGTTTGACTTATTTCACTCAGCATAATCTCCTCCAGTCCCATCCAAGTTGATGCGAAAGTTGGGCATTCATCCTTTCTGATGGCTACGTAATATTCCAGTGTGTATATGGACCACATCTTCTTTATTCATTTGCCTGTTGAAGGGCATCTTAGCTCTTTCCACATTTTGGCTATTGTGGACATTGTTGCTATGAGTATCAAGTTGCATAGGGGCCTTCTTTTCACTTATTTGGGGAACAAAAAGAAGAGCATGGAGGACATTAGGAGAAGGAAGGGGAAAATGAACGGGGAGAAATCAGAGAGGGAGATGAACCATGAGAGACTATGGACTCCGGGAAACAAACTGAGGGTTTCAGAGGGGAGGGGGTGGGGGATGGGTGAGCCAGGTGGTGGGTATTAAGGAGGGTGGATTGCATGGAGCACTGGGTGTTATACACAAACAATGAATCACAGAACACTACATCAAAAACTATGATGTATTCTATTGGGACTAACATAACACAATTAAAAAGAGAGAGAGAGAAAGAAAAGAACCCAAGTTACTCATTTTTCTAATACATTTTCTAATGCATGCTTCCAATTTTTCTATTTTAACAATAGAATTTTCTATTTTAACAATTGCTCTGAACATTCTCTTCTGAGTCTTGTTGACGTCCTGTGGTAAGACTTTCTCTAGAGTGAATGTCTCAGAGTGGAATCCTAGGGCTACGTTATGTGCATTTGTAACTATTCCAGACATGACCAAATTGTTTTCCGAAGTGGACAAACCAGTTACCTTCCCTTAGTGGTACAGAGTAGGTCTTATGGCTCTATGCCCTCAACAATTGGTATCATAGTTACATTTATTTTTGCCGAGCTGGCTTAAAAATTGCATCTCGTTATTGTTTTTATTTGCATTTTATGAATCTTAATATAAGGTTCACCATCCTACTTGTCTTTTGATTTTCTTTTTAATACAGTGCTGTTGAGAGATCTGATGTTGGTTTGAGTCTCCCTCCTTTGCAGGCATTCTATTTGTTTTGTCTGGAAGATTTTAAGGCTTCTTTCCTTATCTCTTCTATTCATAAATTTCATACTATTTGTAGGCGCTTTCAATCAAGCCTTTTTTGCGGACTTATTTAAATGCTCTGCCTCTCTTCCCTACTCTATATTCTTTCTTTTTTTTTTTTTAAGATTTATTTATTTATTTGAGAGAAGGGGAGAGAGAGAGAGAGAGAGAAAGCAGGAGGAAGGGGCAGAGGAAGAGAGAGAATCCCAAAGCAGACTCCCCAGTGAGCACTGAGCCCGATGCAGAGCTCTATCCCAGGACCCTGAGATAATGATCTGAGCTGAAATCAAAAGTCAGCCACTTAACCGACTGAGCCACCCAGGTGCCCTGGAACTCTTATTAGATAAAAATTAAAATTCTGGATCTTTCACTTATCTTAATTATAGAGAATTTCATAGCTCTGTTTTTCAGTTTGTTAATTTGTTTTTCAGCAAACTTGATTTAGCTGTTTTATTATTTCAACAGGTTCCATAATCTCCAGTTTATTCATACTTAAGTGTATGAAACCTTCACATTTCTTTCACAACACAAATCATAACCTATTGTAAAGCCCTAATCCTCTTGCTCTACTAACTCCATTTTCTCAGAAATTGTGACCATCTGTTGTTGCCTTTCTTCCATCTCTTTCACAGTGGCCTTCTTTCAAGTTTGGCATTCTTCATTTTTTGCTCATCTCTGTAGAAGACATCCCCTGTTAGGCCTACATCCTATCACTTATCTTAACCTGTTTTGAGGAAGGATAGAAGGTATCACTGGTTATACCTTGGTAGATAGTGTTCTGGTGCAGGTTCTCCTCATTCTTCCCAGATACCGCTAGACCCTGAAGGTGGGGTCTTTCCTTACTTTCTAACTCTCACCCTCCTCGCCATTTTTCTTCCCATGGGCGAGAGACACTGCCATGACTATCATCTGGCTGAAGGGACAGTGAGGAAGAATCAAACCATCTAGATATTCCTGCTCTGGTACCTGAATTGGTCAATTTATTTGAACTTTGAACATTTCCCTGCTGATTGCATCTATCCCTTTGGGGCAATGAGCATTCAGGGTGTCTTTCCTATATTTTACAGCAAAAAAATCACTGTTCTAGTTTTAGTTATGGTAGACTTTCTTCACCTGGTCCTATGACATGCAGACATTTTTGTCATAATTGCTGGTCCCTGGAAAGTTTCCTCTCTTGTTTTCCATGCAGTTTGATTTTCTTCATCTATCTTTTCCATTCCTTACAGAATTTGGAACTGGAAGAGAAGGTTGCATCATTTTTGTTCAATCCATTATCTTTGAGTTCACCCTTTTACCATGCTTGGATTATACATGAGAGAAATAATTCAAGAAACAGTCAATAGGAACCAAAATATCACCTTTCCTGATAAAAAGCCACTGGAAAATGCAGTTTCGCATGAAAGGCGAATGAGCCTCCTAATACTGCACCACACAATTGTACAGATATAACCAGCCAAACCCAGCAGCCCCAGGTGCACCTGTGTAGCCCTGCCCTGGAAAAGGCAGATGTTGTGTTTTGTTGGGCTGACTGGCTCCCAGAGAGGAAGAAGAATGAAACCAAGCCAATCGTGTCCGATTTATTATTCCAGATTCACCCATCAGATTACATCGCCTTCTCCAAGGACACAAAAGATCTACTAAGTCAGGTTCCCTCAAGTATGGAAGGTATATTCATTTCCTGTGGCCACTGCAACAAATTACAATGTGGTTACTTAAAACAACACAACTTTGCTCTCTAGTAGTTCTGGAGGTCGGAAGTCCAAAATCCATTTCACTGAGGTAAAGTCAAGGTGCTGGCAGGTTTTTTGTTGTTGTTGTTGTTATTGTTGGGTTTTTTGTCATTTGTGGCTGCCTGTGCTTCTTTGCTTGTGTCTCCTTTCTCCATTGCCAATGATCATCAGTTGCATCTCTGGTTGTCATCGCATCACCTTCCTCTCTGACTCTTACTCCTCTTGTGTCCCTCTTATAAGGACCTTTGTGATCACATCAGGCCAACCAGATAATCCAGGATAACCTCCCCACCTCAGGACCTTAACTTACTCACATCTGTAAAGTCTTTGATATACGGTAACATATTCACAGGTTCTGGGGATTAGGACATGGACATGTTTGGGGAACCACTCAGCCTATGACAGAAGGTAATATCAAAAGTTGGGAGAATTATTCTCCCACTAATAGTCCCTTGATTTTTTTGGTTCTCTTAAACCACTGGTGTAGACATTAAATCTCTGTCAACCAGAGGTGTATCTGACATCCTTAAGAGAGGGTCCCAGCAGCCTATCAGAACAGTCTTGCTCCATCTTCAAGAGGCCACCCTTCCCTCTTATACCCGCCAACTTGGTGTCCTCCCAGGAGCAGTGATGGGGAAGAGATTTCACTCACAAAAGGTTCCAAAATAGTTCCCTATAATGCATTAATTAAATAGCTCAATGCCATTTTGTATCCAAGGTTGAAATTTTCATTTTCCTATCACCTGTTTTTATCATGCCTGTCCATGTTGTCAGCAGAGGAAATCAGAAGATCAGGATGGAGGTTATATGACAAAACTACGTGATTCCAATATTAATATGCACAACAAAACCTCAATAACAAAATGCCAATAATGTTGAGGGGAAAAGATTTGTTAACATTAACCTCTTCTCTTCCTTTGATCAAATGGTTAGGGAGAAAGTAAGGTCCAAGGAATGAAATCCAAATCATGAGACATGAAAGTTCAAAGAAAGTAAGGTTCAAAATAAAATTATCTTGTTTTTGTGGGTTAAAATTCAAAAAAATTAAGGTCCAAAATTCATCTTCCCAATTTTTTATTCCGCTCTGTCTCAGTTGGAGGGGATTTCAACGTCTGGGTTGAGTCAGGAATCTGTAGTAACTACAGCTTAAGCCAGATCTCACTGGAATGACGGCAGCTCCTACAAGACCCCTAAATTAGAAAACAACAGTTACACCAGCAAGTCTGTAATGTGCTCTTTCCTAGAGTCTACAGATTTAGTAGAAGATGCAAATTGATCATATAGCACCAGCTCTACACATACCATAGCCAGAAAAGACAATTTTTTTCACAAGTATCTCAAGCAAAATAGCCAGCACCAGCATTTTGGGTTGCCAAAGACTATCGCAAAGATAACAGCCTCACCAAGAAGCCATTTGATTGAGACCAAGAATCCAGAACATGTGCACTGTGAATTAAAACCCAGTTAGGAGAAATCTACTAGCTACAGGTTAATTTCTGCACAATGGCACCTTGCACTTACCATAACCAGGACACCCCACCTCTGGGAAGGCATTTGGGGGGGGTGCCTTCTTGCAAAGGCAGAAATGTGCAGTAGCAACACCTTCAGTCATTCGACCTTATTTGTGGAGCTGTTCTTTCCCACCCAGCTGATCAGAACCTTTTCATTTCCATGGCCATTTTGACCTTTAGGTGCCTGCGCCATAGCGTTGCAATGAAGGTGAATTCCATCCAGTAACAGAGCTCCCACAATAACCAGAAAGCATTTTTCTTCTTGTGCTGCAGGGGCTTTTTCCACCACCCCTTTCTAATGGAATTCCTTAGGCCTAAGAAAACCATTACCTGGGGAGGATTTCTCCATCATATTTAAATAACCGGCGTCTAGCAACTTGAGGACAAGTAGAGGGAGGGATTCTTGAGCCACATCAATGCAAACTTAGTCCATCCACTTTTGCCCTTGAAGATAGTTCAAAGCAACATAAAAGAGGAATTAAAATTTGGGCTGTTTGTTCACATTACCCTCCCAGACCTAGTACTAGCACATTGAAAACTCGTCTCTCACCCGTGCTCTCCGGTCCAAAGAGAACCCAGCTGCCCCCACTGTTTAAAAAGAGAAAATACTTTTCTACTCCTTTAATATCTAAAAGGGCAGTATTTGAAAAGACTTTCTCTCTCCCTATAATTGAATCCTTGCCTCGGCTTGAACTGCTTATTAAGGCCTCTTCAGCTTGCTGGCCTCTGCTAAGTCCTTCTCTATGGCCTCTGTGCCCTTGCCAAGGCCCTCTTAGAGATTCAGAGTGGCTTTTCCAAGGCCTTTTTTCCCAGGCCCCCACTGTTCAGCGCCAAGTGCACCACCATGAAAACCTACCTGGCTCAATACAAGCCTATACACACTGCCAAGATCGAAATGTCCTACATGCACACTAAGGAACAAGACTGCAGGGCCAAGGCCAAACCCTTGCCACTCCAGAGGCCTCCGTCACTCCCCGGGTATTCACGGGCTTCTCCCTAATTGTGCACCTTATTTCTTACACGTCCACTTTCTGGCCAGCATACGACAGGCTGGAACACTGAAGCAGAACCCAATAAATAGCACCCTGTCTCCTTTTCTGAGTTTAAAACAAATGAAGAATTAAGATAAAGGAGTGGACGAAGAAGGCCCAAGTATTACTTAGTTCCTGATAAAGCTGGGTTGAGTCAGAAGAGCTTCCCGACACCCAGCTGGAGTGAGAGCCAGCAGGTCTCGTCCAAAGGGGACTTGCCTCCCTGTGGGTGGGGGCGTCAGGCTGCCCTGAGAGCAGACCTCGTGCTCGCTCGATTCCAAGGAGGAGAGTGGATGCAAATGAACTGGGCATGCCCACTTTATGTTCCCCAAATCTGCCAATTAAATCATGTCTGAGTTTAAGAAAGGGCAGAGAAAAGTCTAAAACAACTGCCTTCACTTGGAAGGGCAATTTCTGCTTGATTTTTTTTTAACTAATAAAAATATTATATGTATTATTGAGTAATTACACAACTTGTTTTTGTTTTTTTTTTTTAAACCAAAATGGTCGAAGCTCCCACCAGGTAGGACTGTGTGCTAGGGTTATAATCTAGATTTTTTTTTTAAGACTTATTTATTTATTTTGGGGGGAGGGGCAGAGGGAGAGAGAAAAACCAAGAAGACTCCTTGCTTAGTGGGGAGCCCAATGTTGGGCTTGATCCCACAATCCTGAGATCAGACCTGAGCTAAAACCTAGAGTTGGAACTTAACCAACTGGGCCACCCAGACACCCCATAATCTGGAATTCTAAAGATAAGATTTCTGGGGTATTATCAATTAGCATTAGGGAATGTTTCCCCAGTAGTTTTTCAAGTCTTTATGAAAACACATCAGTTCATACATTTATTAGCTTTGCACTTAAAAACATGGTTCATTGGGACATCTGGGTGACTCAGTTGGTTAAACGTTCAACTCCTGATTTCGGCTCAGGTCGTGATCTCAGGGTCACAAGATGGAACTCCAAGTCAGGCTCTGTGCTAGGCATGGAGCCTGCTTATGATTCTCTCTCTCCCTCTCTCTTAAAAAAAACAAAACAAAATAAATAAATAAATAAATAAATAAATAAATAAACCACGATACAATTTGGAGCAAGATATAAATAAAAGCTTTTCTCAGTTTCAGGGACAAATGCTTCCAACCTTCTCAGATTCCCTCCACTTCCTCTTCCGGTCTTTCAGGCAGTCAGTGCCCCACCCATGCAAGCCACCCCACTTCCAGACTTCAGTGAAACAGCCAAGCCGCAAGGTGTGAACTTGATTTTCTAAGGGGGGGGTCACAGAGTAGCCAGACCACACCCCTGGTGAGTTCAGGGGGTTTAGCTCCCTGTACGGGGAAACCCTGGCCAAAGGAAATGGAGACAGGAGGGGGCAGGCAGGTAAACGCCCTCATGTCTCTCTTGGACTGCTCTGAGGCGTAGCTTCTTCCTGCAGGCTTTCTGAAGAATCCCCGAGGCCTGAGCAAATGCCACTGGGAGGCCTTCCCTTGCCTCACTCTTCCCACCTAAAACTACTTGGGCTGTTTGGGGTCATCATGCCCTTGCCTTAAGGCCAACCTCGGCACTTACTGCCACCAAGCTCCCACACAGCCAGCTTCTTAGGGAGGCAAAGACAACAATACCCGTACAGGTCATACAGGAAACCTTCCTTCTAAATATGCATCAAGTTTCTCTTTCCTCAAAAGCCCTACAGCCTATAGCTCACCCACCTCTTCTGCCCCTTCAACCTTCTCGTGAACTTTTCTTTCAAGGTTCACCCTCAGCCTGCGGTGGGGAGAGCAATTTGGTCTTCTCTCAGCATTTTCATCCTCGTCCGTGCCAGGCACTCTGCTTAATTCAACAAGCCCTCTAGAGTGAGCCGAGCACACAAAGCATTCAGCCTTCCTGCAGACAAGAGGGGAGACATGGCGGGTACATCATTATGATACACTTTTTCCCGCTGGCACACAGGCAGAAAACAAAATTCCAAGTAGGCAAGAAGCAGAGGGAAGAAGAACTTATGTCAGGGTGAAGCAAGTGTGGGGTCTAGGCAGGCACAAGTTTGTAGGGTTATCTGGTGGCGGAAAAGCAGATCAGGAACATGGATCTCCAGGCGGGGACAGACACCCCATGAAACTGGGTTTACAATGAGGTCAAGTCACCCGTGCAAGGGGAGGCTGGGAGCTGGGAAAGTGTTTTCAGGAACACTGGCATAAGCAAGAGGAGTGCAGTTTATTTTTATTTTTTAAGATTTTATTTACTGGGGCACCTGGGTGTCTCAGTCAGTTAAGCACCTGCCTTCACCTGGGTCCTGGGATCGATCCCCACTATCAGGCTCCCTGCTCGGTCGGGAGCCTGCTTCTCCCCCTGCTTGTGCTCTTTCTCCCACTCTCTCTCTCTCTCTTTCAAATAAATAGATAAAATATTTAAAATGAGAGAGAGAGAGAGAGCACGAGCAGGGGGAAGGGCAGAGGGAAAGAGAGAAGCAGGCTCCCCACTGAGCACAGAGCCCAGCTCAGACTTGATATATAAATATATATTATATATGTAATATTTATATATTATATATGTAATATATATATATATTACTCATAAAAAAGAATGAAACCTTGTCATTTGAAACAACATGGATGGATCTAGAGAGTATGATGCTAAGTGAAATAAGTCAGTCAGAGAGAGACAAATATTCATACGTGGAGTTTAAGAAACAAATAAAGAAAAAAAAGTCTAACCAAAAAACAGACTCTTAACTATAGAGAATTGATGTTTACCATAGGGAAGGTGGTTGGGGCAATGAGTGAAATACACGAAGGGGACTAAGGGTACACTTATTATGACGAGCACTGAGTTATGTGTAGAATTGTTGAATCACTATATTTTACACTTGAAACTAATGTAACACTGTATGTTAACCACACTGAAATTAAAATAAAATTTTTTAAGATAAAACACAATTTTAAAAATTATATCAAATAATAAATGACATAAAAATAACTTTGTAATAGTAAAAATTTAATGGCAAGACAGAAGAACTTTTTTTTTAACTAAATCCATGTTGACTACTTTTTTAGACAGCCTAGCTAAAAAAATATAATAAGTATCAGAAAGGCAGAAAACCTATACATCCTATATTTTTACCTTGTAATGTGATACATAACAAAAGCAGCCTCTAAAATTGCTCAACTGTATGAAATTTTAAAAATTATCCCCCTTAATGTCTATGTCATGCAGAAAATTCAGATTATACTAATAAAGTATTACTTAAAGGATATATATGGGGCACCTGGGTCATTCAAATGGTTAAGCGACTGACTCTTGGTTTCAGCTCAGCTCATGATCTCAGGGCTGTGGGATCAAGCCCAATGTTGGGCTCTGCACTCAGCACAGTCTGCTTGTCCTCTCCCTCTGCCTCTGCCCCTCCCCCTGCTTGCTTGCTTTCTCTCTCTCTCTCAAATAAATATAATCATTTTTAAAAGGATATATATATATATATATATACACACATATACATAAATTCATATAGAGAATTTTAAAAGAATCTTTTGTCCATTTTTAACCAGGTGGTTTTCTCATTGATAAGTCTTAAAAATTCTTACATGTTCTATATACAAGTCCTTTGTCAGATAGGTGATTCAAAACTATTTCTCCTAGACTATGGTTTGTCTTTTCATTCTCTTAATGGCCATTTCACACAATAAAAGTTGTTAATTTTCATGAAGTCCAATTAACAATTTTTTTCTTTCATGAATCATGCTTTCAGTGTCATATCGAAGAAATCTTTCCCTCATCCAAGTTCACAAACATTGTCTTCTACATTTTCTTCTAGAAGCTTTATAGTTTTACATTCTACAGGTAGGTCTATGATCCATTGCGAGGCTTTTGCATATCCATTTTTGCCTAAGGTGAAAAGTATAGGTCAAGATTCTTTTTCTTTTTTTCTTTCCTCTTTTTTTTTCTTTTTTCTCTTCTCTTCTTGTGTGTGTGTGTGTGTGTGTGTGTGTGCATGCGCGTGTGTGCGTGTGTATGGTTATTTGTTTCAACACCATTTACTGAAAAGTTTATCCTTCCTACAATGAATTGGTTTTGTGCTTTTATTAAAAATTGGTTGACAATAAATGGGTGTGTCTATTTCTGGACTCTGTATTCTGTTCCATTGATCTTGGTGTCTATCCTTTCAATAAATACCACCACTGTCTTGACTACTGTAGCTTTCATGAATAGATAAATCTATTTTTTTTTCCTTAAGGATTTTATTTATTTGGCAGGGAGGGAGAGAGAGCACAAGCCAGGAGGGGAGAGGCAGAAGGAGAAGCAGACTCCCCGCTGAGCAGGGACTCCAAGGCAGGGCTCCATCCCAGGACCCAAGATCATGACCTGAGCCAAAGAGAGACACTTAACCGATGAAGCCACCCAAGTGCCTCATTTTTTTTGTTGTTGTTTTTAGATTTTATATATGGAGGCGTCTGGGTGGCTCAGTGGGTTAAAGCCTCTGCCTTTGGCTCAGATCATGATCCCAGGGTCCTGGGACTGAGCCCCGCATCGGGCTCTGCTCAGCGGGGAGCCTGCTTCCCCTTCTCTCTCTGTCTGCCACTCTGCCTACTTGTGATCTCTCTGTCAAATAAATAAAAAATAAAATCTTTCAAAAAAGAAATATTTTATATATGTATTTGACAGAGAGAGATACAGCAAGAGAGAGAACACAAGCATGGGGAGTAGGGGAGGGAGAAGCCAGCTTCCCACTGAGCAGAGAGCCCGAAGCTGGGCTCGATCTCAGGACTCCACAATCGTGACCCAAGCCAAAGGCAGAAGTTTAATGACTGAGCCACCCAGGCGCACCCGCCCAGCTACCTTTTTTTTTTTTTTTTTGTAATCTCTACACTTGATGTGAGTTGTGAACTCCCAGCTCCAAGGTCAAGAGTCCCATGCTCTACGACTGAGCCAGCCACGTCCCAGTACCTCTAATTTTTTAATCCAAAAAGTTCCATCACTCAAGATGTGTCATTTTGAGCAAGTTATATAACCTCTCTCAACTTCGATTTTCTCAGCTCTGAAAAGAGGATATTAGTAGGACCTGTGTGAAAGAGCAATTACAAGGACTAACAAGCCAAGGCACAGTAGCAAACGTTGCTTATCTTGGTTCCAGCACTCCTCCTTTCTTCCCAGATCAGCATCTCCTTCTTTTGGGGAAAAAGCTCTTCTTCCTCACTTCAAGCACAGGGTCCTGTTAGAGTTGCCAATCATACTACCATGTCCCCACCCTGGCCTCAGGGACTGTTGGTCAAGGGATGGACACAGGAGCCAAGCACAGCTAATTAAGAGACTTTCTCCCCTCTGCACTACAGAAGACTGAATTACTGGCCCTAACCTTTGCTCTTCCCTCTATCCACACACTTCACATGTAATTTACAGGTTTTATCACTCAGGAATAAGTCTGTTTCCTTGAATTTTGGCTTTGGAGTTGGCCACGTGACTTGCTTTGGCAACTAGAATGAGCAGAAGAGACAAGAGTACAGGTTTTGTCTAGAATTTAAGAGGCCGTAGGATCCTTCTTGTCCCCATCAATAGGTAAGAAGAAAAAGTTTTCACTTGAATGAAGATGGAGTTTTGATTAAACATCAAACTGGACAATTTCAGTTACTAAATTGCCACTCCAAAGGAGGATTTTTATTCTACGAGAATGAGCTAGTAAGCTAAAGGGGAAGCCCACGACTGAGCCTCAGCCAGAGACAAGTGAAGGCCCGTGAAACAGGCCTTACGGGGCTGGCGTGCCACCACACAACTGTGCATTCTGATTTTACCCACCTTCGCGTCATGCTTGTTCGAATATTTTTAAATCATTTTATCTTCTTGTATCTCCTACTCTATCATCTCTATTTTATCTAACCTTAATCCTTCTCAACAGCTTTCTCTTGACTTATTGACAGGCTTTTTGTTCTTTCTTTTCTTTTTAAATGTTTCTTCTGATCCATTTTCCTAAAGGCAAATCTCAGTAATGGAGAATATTAGAACTGAAAACAGCATTCCTTTGCCCTTTCCGGGCAGTATTGTGCTGGGTCCTCCGAAAGGCGGGCACCAAGATGGAATTAGATACGCAAGAAGTTTACGAAGGGCGATGCCTGGCTGGCTCAGTTAAGCTTCTGCCTTCGGCTCAGGTCCTGATCCCAGGGTCCTGGAATCCAGCCCCACATTGCAGGGAGCCTGTTTCCCCCTCTGCCTGCTGCTCCCCCTGCTTGTCCTCTCTCTCTCTCTCTCTCTCTCTCTCTCTCTTTGGCAAATAAATACATAAAATCTTAAAAAAAAGGGAGGGGGGAAGAAAGAAAAGAAATTTACTAGGGTAAACATCTGTAGAGGAAGTGAGGAGGAGCCAAGAGAAGTTGCGGAAGCTGTCAAACCATGATGTATCTCTGACCATGAGGGAAGGGGAGCGGGAAGGAAGGAAGGCTGAGTGAAAGTGTGTTGGATCACAGTGGGGTTCTCAAAAAAGTTCAGCAAGGCCACATGGGCGTCCTCAAGCCAGTCACCTGAAACCAATGCCTGACTCTGTCCTAAGACCATGCTTTCCAAGGCTGCCTCCATCTAGTAACAGAACACAAAAGTGATACTGAAGAGCCACGAGACTCCTCTGACTGTTCCTTCCACATGACTCAATCCAACTCGGCTTCGCCTATCTTAGATCTGTCCCTTCTCACACTTCCCTTCTGTGCATCCTTTCAAACCCAGAGTAAAATGGACCAGGAGCTTCTTTCACTTATGGGGAAGGCTCTGTTTTAGGCAGTTAGTAGGAAATAGATCAAAGCACAGGAGAAAAGAGACAGAGAAAACCACCTAAGTGTGATCCTAGTCTAGCTAAAAGGAGCTGGTGTGACTCTTGAAATCCAGCATTATTTACCAGAACAGGTAATTCA